TACATGACCGACCCATCCCTCCCCTCGGCCACCGAGCTCTCTTGGCCTAAACACTTCTCCACTTCTCTGTACCACCCAGGATTCATTCTTTTGCTCCCACCCCATCCCCTTCTTTGGTGTTTACATTCTTCAGATACTTGCAGGCTGTTATCAGCTCCCCTGTAGCCCTTCTTCAGGCAGAGCAGGCAGCCACTCTCCTTAACCTGCTGTTGCAGCCTGTCCTTCCAGTCCCCTGCGTCCCTGTCTGCTCGGGACCCCCTCTGGTGCCTCTCTCCGTCCAGCTGCAGGGCTGGACGCATCATTCTGGTGGGGACGGATGCAACCAGGCAGAACTCCACCAGGATGCAGCCAAGCTGCCAGCTCCTCGGCCCCCAGCTCCCCCGTTTTGCTGGGGGTGCATCCTGCCGCATCCTCCTGCGTCTCCGGTGTCCGGATCTCTCGCAGCGGTTCGGCTTTCCTGGACGTTTCCTCCTCCCAATGTGGGCCGTTTCCTCTGAATGGGGTGTTTGGTTTGAACCCGGCTCTCTTGTCACATATCCCAGGCTCTTTAGGCCGGGTGAGGAAGCTGGATTTGCTTGTGAGGAGGGTCAGAAAAGCAGCTTTAAGCCATTCATCCTACAGCGCTGGCCCCGCTGTGACAATAGTTCAAAGCCAATTCCAGAGCTGAGGCTCCACATCTGGCAGTGGCAGGGAAAACAGAAGCCCTGTACAATTCACCCCCTTGGGAGAAGCCCTCCGGGGGCATTTTCTGGCCCGGGTGCTGTGCTGGGGGCAGTGGTTCTGGCAGGACTTTGTGCTGGTTTTCCCAGCAGCGTGCATCCCGCTGACGTTCATTATTTTGGCACCTAACGCTTCGGAACTGTCAATTCCCAACAAGACAAGACCCAGCTGATCCATACAACAGCCCCAGCCAGAAGTTCCTTTGCTCCCTCTCTCCCTGTGTTGTTTTTCTGCCTCCACAGAGCCTGGCCATCTCTCTCCTGCCCGGAGCACGTGTGTCCCGGGAGGGAGGTTGTGCTTTGACGTTTCCCCTCCTTTCCTTCCCTCTCGCCGCTCCCAGTTCAGAGCCGGAGCTGAAGTCACTGGATTGGAAGGGATAACGGGAAAAAGGGTGGAGCTGCCGTCGTGGAGAAGGAATTCATTTTTGGGGTGCTGTCTCAGAGTGGCAGCAGGGCCAGGGAGACATCTGGGGCCATAGGGGGAACGGTGTCTGTGTCCCCTTCGTCTCCCAGTCACTGGCAGCACCCATCACCTTGGTGGGAGGTGAGGTGTGGCAACCCACTCGTGCCTTTTCCCTCTGGTTTCCCTCCCTTCCCAGGCAGCTTGAGGCCATTGTCAGACACTTCTGGCTGGACCTGAAGCCATAGCAGTCATGACCTTCCTCTTGGCGGGGTCTTCCTCCTTGCTCCTGCTCAAACCAATAGCAGGGGCACAGGACAGGGGGGGGGAATGCCACATCCTCTGCTCTTGCCACCCTGAAACCTTGGGTGTGACCCAAGAGGGACAGCTCGGGGAGATGAAAGCAGGGGAAGGCTTAGCCCAGCTGGATGGCCAGGGAGCTGGGCTTGCTGGGCAGCCACAGCTGGTCACTGGGCTTGTTCAGGGGGGTGCAGAGTGGCCGTCGGCTTGCTGAGCCAGCTGTTCTCACCAGCTCGGTCTCAGGTTTTGGTTGTGGCATGTGGGGACTGCTGGTGGCTTCTCTGGGGCTGGCAGGTCCGCTGCAAACCACTGAGAGGTCCAGCTCTGGCACTGTCACCTCTCCAGCACTGTCCCCACCTGGTTCAGCTGGAGAAGAAGGGACAGATCAGCACACTCTGGCCTCTCAGGGAGAGGAGGTGCTGGGCTCAATTATTTGGTGGTGCAACTCCTGTGGAGTCAGCAGGGGTGGGAGGAGGGACCAGCTCCAGCCTGTTTGGCTGAGGGCAAAGCTAGGGAGAGCAGTTCCCCTGAGTCAGCTCTCTGGTGCTCCACCTCAGGAAGGAGATAAACTGGTTGGGATGCAGCACCAGTGGTGTGAGGTTAGGAGGAGGAAGAGGGGAGCTGGGGGGAACTTCTTTCTAGCACGAGGTGATTGGGGTGATCTCTGTTCATCCTTCTCTTCAGTACCTGTGGCCAAGGTTGAGCAGAGGGGAGGCTCTGCAGCAGGGAGGGGTCAGAAAGACCTGGGTAAGAGAGGAGCCCCCAGCACCTTAGAGAGGATCAAGTCTCAAAGAGAATCAAGTGCTGGTGGTGACTCTGATTTCATCTCTACCCTGGGGCACATCATTTAAAGGCAGTGTGTTTTCACAGCTGTTGAATTGCCTCCTGTATGTTTGTGGTGAGGGCTGTTTCGCAGAGAGCTACTTGTGTCTTTAATAAATGATTGGTGGTGGAGTTACCAGAGGGACATAGCTCTGGGGCACAGATGGCCAGGGCTTGGACAAGGCGTGTCAGGCTCTTTGGGACTTTGCCTCCGTCTCCAAGGCAAGCCACTTTGGTGCTGGTGGAGCACTCCCTTCTGCCAGCTCTCCTTGCCCCTGCCTCCCCCTCTCTGAATAAATACCTCTGAGGCACTTTGTGGAAACCTCCCTGCTGCATATTTTCCTTTCATTTTTTTTTTTTTTAACCACTTTCCTTATCTCCTGCTCCCTCTTACAGGAATGTCTGCCTGCTGCTGAAAGGTAAATCCAGTTCTCCTTCACCACTGGGTCCTACACCACTATGACTTCCCTAAAAGTTGTGCCAGGCTATTCCCACTGTTGTTCTCACCTTCCACTTCATGGCACAAAAAGCTCTTTCGTGGGTCACTCCAAGGCAGTAACCCTCTGTTTTGTCCTTTCCTCTCCAGCCAGATCTCCTCAATTTCAAGAAGGGATGGATGTCCATCCTGGACGAGCCGGGAGAGGTAAGCCTGAGCTGGGGGTCTGCCTTTTCCCCCAGCCCCTGCTGCTAGAGATGCCTTGGTGACCAGCTGGTTTCCTTCCCCCTGCCTGGCTGAGGTTGCTCCCACTGGGAAGGGCAGCAGGGGAAGCCTTTGGCCGAGGTGCCTCACTCTGCGTGCGGGCACGGAGCATCACCCAGCATCCCTTTCCCAGCCAAGGGGGCGTGAGGGGCAGCTGGAAGGGATGTGGAGGAGGGGGAAGAGGAGGCCGAGAGGTCCTGGTGCAGAGCGTCCCTCCCTGTTCCTACGCTTCCCCTGGTAACTGTATATATCCATTTCCCTCCTGTCTTCCCTCCCCTGCCCCTGCCCCACCCTCCTGCAGTGGAAGAAGCACTGGTTCGTGCTGACCGACTCCAGCCTGAGGTATTACCGGGACTCGAACGCGGAGGAGGTAAGCACGGACAGCCTTTCTCCAGCCTCTCCTCCTTCCCTCGGGTGGTGGGGGCTCTTTCAAAGCTGGCTTCGTGCTGATGTCCCAGCGGGTGGCTGTCCTTGCAGGCTGATGACCTCGATGGAGAGATCGACCTCCGCTCCTGCACGGATGTGACGGAGTTCGCGGTGCAGCGCAACTACGGCTTCCAGATACACGTGAGTGTCCCCACGGCTGGCTGGGGACCTCCGTGGGCTCCCTCCCTGGGCTCCCTGCCTCTGCTGAGAGCCAAGGCGTGCAAACCTGTTGCTGGGACAGCAGCCCAGCAGGGCTGTTTGGTGGCGGTGCTCAGGGACACAAGTGCTGCCTGCCTGCAGAGGAAGGAGGAGGCTTTGCAGGGCTGGCTGAAGGCTGTGCTGGAAGCAGCCCAGGAGCGAAGCTAAACCCCAGGAGTTTAGTTGGCCCGTTGGCTGAGGCAGCTTCTCTGGAGCCACAAAGAGGGCGTGGCAAGCACTGCAGATCTCAGCGTAGCCTTGCTGACCCTGAGTGTGCTCTGAGTAACAGCGTGTACCCTGGATCTGGCCCTAGTACAAGCCTGTCCTTGGTTACTTGCTGTAGCAGCAGGAGGTGGCTGCTAAGGCAGCACAGGAACCACTCTGTGGATGTGTGGGGCTGGGCACTTCACCGTCTGGGTTTCCCTGTGGCCTGCTGCTGGCCCCCAGTGGTGGTGCCCAGCTCTCAACTCCTGAACAGCTGGATTGCACCAGCCTGCTGAGCCAGCAGTTTCTTTTGCCTTCTCTTGGAGAATGTATGACAGGCTTTCCCCTGAAGGAGCGTGTCTCCACTCCCACCCTGCCACCTGACCCCACAAGTCTCTAACGGTGGACACCACCCCTGCGAGAGGGTGCCTGTGGGTCTCGGGGAGTAAGTGGAAGCTGCCTGCACCTCATCTGGGCACTGATGGGGCCTCTGTCACCTCCCTGTTGCAGACAAAGGACGCTGTCTTCACCCTGTCGGCGATGACCTCGGGCATCCGGCGCAACTGGATCGAGGCCCTGAAGAAGAATGTGCGCCCAGTCAGTGCTCCAGATGTCACCAAGTAAGAGCTGCCCCGTGGTGCTTCTCCTCTTGCTGCCCCTCTCCCCGGGCAGGCAGGAACTGGGAAAGCCCCTCTGGAAATCTGGCCACTCCTGAACGTGGTCTGCATACACCAGCGGGTGGCAAGAGTTGAGAGCCTGATGGCTGCCACCCTTGCACCCGCTTTGCCACGTCACTTTAGCCCAGTTTCTTCACCAGCATGGCTGGAACTGGGGTAAATCCTCCTCACCCTATGGAGGAACCCATTCCCCCAAGGGATGGGATGCTACAGGCCCAGCTCTGCCTTCAGGGTGAGGTTCTGTAAGGCTGGTTTTGGGCAGTTGGTGGTGCCTCTGCCAGCCTCCTTTCCCACACGGTGCCTCTCCTTCACTGGCTGCTGCTCTGCTTTTTAGGCTGTCTGACTGTGACAAGGAGAACTTCCGTAACTGCCTCCCCCAGAAGGGCTCCCTCCGGACGGAGGAGCAGCAGCGGCTGGGCCCGGGCTCCGAAGGGCACCCCAAGGGCAGCCCCTGGAAGGCGGATGGGCAGCGCCACGCCTTCGACTACGTGGAGCTGTCTCCCTTGCCTCAGGAGCCCGGGAATCAGGGGTCCCCTCAGAGGACGAGAGGCAGCGTGAGGATCTCCGAGCGAGCTCCCAAGCATGAGGAGCTGGAGCGGGATCTGGCCGCGCGCTCGGAGGAGAGGAGGAAATGGTTTGAGACCCCCGACAGCAGGGTCCCAAATAGCAATGGCCCAGCAGGAGACTCTCCCCGCAGGGTGGGGGAGCAGGACCTCCCCTCTCCCCAGCTTTCGGAGGAGCAGCGGATTCAGCTGAATGAAGAGATAGAGAAGAAGTGGCTGGAGCTGGAGCGCCTGCCCCTGAAGGACTCACGACGGGTGCCCCTGACCACACTGCTGAATCAGAGCAAGGGTGGCCACGGAGACACCAACGAGGCGCTGAAAAAGGAGGTAAAAGCATCCTCCCTCTCTCAAACTGGGCTTCTTGTGGCTCCTCGGTGTGGTCCCTGGCAGCAGGAGGCTCTGCAGAAGGGCAAGGCAGAGGTGCGAGGAGGTGTTCATTTCTTTTTGGCTCCATCTGCCACCTCCTGAGCGCATGGGAGCTTTTGCAACCAGCTAATGAGAAACCAGAGACCTGTTCTCACACGCCTGGAGAAGTTCCCCAGGCCACATTTTGGTCCAGGATAAGCTAGTTGGTGGCACTGCTTGCGTGGAGTCTGTTTCACAAGAGTCCATCTTCTCTGGCTCTTCCCAAGCCTGCAAGTGCTTCGCCTGCCAGCCTTTGAAAGCAGCCATGCACTTGTCTGTCATCCCAGCTACACGTGCAGCTGTAGTTTCCTCCAGCACAGATCCACCTCTGGAAGCTAGGCTGCCTCCTCTCCTCCTTGCTAGCACTTCCCAGGCCAGGGCTGACTTTGCCAGTTTGCTCTGTTGGCAGGCTGCCATTCCTGTGGGAAATAGATATCTCTGTTGGCTGTGCACTGTTCTCACTACCCTCAAGGCCAGGGTTTGGACGTGGCTCACTGGCCGTGGCACTTTTCCACCCCTGGCTGAGCTCCTCTCTCTCCCTCCTTGCTGCAGGTCCAGTCACTGCGGGCACAGCTGGAGTCCTGCCAGGCCCGGAACCAGAGCCTTCAGGAGGCAGCAAAATCCCAGGGAGAGGCCCACGTGCCCCGGGGGTACATCTCACAGGTGAGCAGGGTGGTGGACGTGGGACCCTGGCCATGCTCCCAGTCCCAAACTGGGAAGTGCTGGCACTCTTGTTCAATACCGAGCAGGTATTGCTAATCATTGGGTTGCCCTGGTGATGCTAACTGGGCCCACTTGTAATCAATGTTAATTACATAAAGGCTTCTGCGTGTTGCCTGGCCTTGAAAGGGCCAGTGTATAAACAGGGGAGGAGGAAAGTTAGGGAGGAGATACAGGATCTGTGCCCCACTTTCTGCGTGGGTGTGATGTTGGCCTGGCCTGGGCTGGCTGGGGGAGGGCTAAGCCATCTCCCAGCTCAGGAGAGGGTCAGCAGCC